GTTTCTTTCTTTCTTTTTTCTCTCCTCTTTTCCTTTGGAAATTGATGGTCGCGTTGGGATCGATTGAGATTAAACGAAGAGGGTTTCGTTATTTCACGTTGTTTACATTTTATGTTGTTGATTAATTGAAAATCGATGAATCTATTCTTTTTTTTTCTTTTGGAAATGAGATAAGTGTATTTACATAAGTGTTAAGTTAAATATTTATACATTAACGACAATGTCAATTAACAAGTTGCAAATTATAATTATAGATTCCTTTTCTAAAAAGGAATTTAATTTTTTTAATAAAACAATAAGAATAAAGTTGTATAGTGATATTTTTTTAAATAATTGTTATAATTTCTTTAACTATTCTTTGTTTATATTAGAATGTTTCATTGTGCAAATTAAAACAAATACAAAAAAAAATAAGTAGAAATTTTGTTCTAAGATCACACGATAAGGCACATGTTCGCCATATCTATTATTATTGTAAAATATATACTTTTGATTATATTGTCAAAAATAAAACACTTTCATTTGCTCGATCATTATTATATTTTAATATTTCACAGCTCCTCATTTTTATTATTAACACTATCTAAGCTTCAAGCGATTTAATTTTTCATTAAATAAACTAAGATTTTTCTATCTCTCAGACACGATCTTTATAATCACATCTTCTTCATCCCCATTGTCAAACACTTTCCATTCCCAAATGAAAATACAATTCGAACACAAGCAAACTTCCTCATTAACGAATTCAAATTAAAAGACAAAAAGAAAAAAAACTCCAAAAAACAATCCCCTTTCTAAAATCTATCCCTTATTGTTGGAAACGCTCCCCAATCGATCCCCAAGTGAAAGTATTTATTCCCCGTTTGTGGTGTGGGCCGCCCTTTGATCTCGAGGAATGGGATAAAGCTCGAACCACTTCGATTGTTTCCTCGCGACGAAAGCGGGCCGACGAAAGTCCCTGAGAATCCGTTCGTCCACGAATTCCTGGCCAATTACGACCAGGCCCTCGCTCTCCTGGGTTAACGAGGATTCCGGCGAATTCTTCGTTTCCACCCCCTCGGTCGAAGAGGACACCAACTTCATCCACCTTCCATCGGCGCAAGATCTCATACATATTAATGACGATTCGATCGATTTCGGGGCGAGCTCGCTTCTTGCTCTGTTTGGGGACAACCGTGAGCCCTTCCGTTGGTCACAATGGTTATTATGCCATTAATGTAATGAAGGTTAGGTGGAAACAAAGGTTCGGGTGATCGAAGTATTTATCGAACGGTCAATTGTTTTTCTCTAGACTCCGATGAAAAATATCGCATGGCTTCTTCGAATGAATTTCTTTGTGGAGAATCGAGGCGAAATTTTGAAGAATTTTAGAGATGTGGAATTGTACGAGATTTCAAGAGGAATGGAGATTTGAATAGGAAATTTTGAAACGAGTTTCGGATTTATTTATAGCAATTTAATCGAGGATGGAGTTATATTATGAGAATTGCAATGTATTTTAAATCTATAATAATATGTCTTAAATAAAGAGATGAAGTCTTATTATAGAATCTTGAAAGTAATTTGTACATCAAACATTTATCGGTATTATATTTTAATATAATTTCAAAGTAATTCAAATGCAATCAATATGAAAAATAATTCTTTAATCGATTCGTTCATTTTTTTTTTTTTTTAATTTTTGATATGCAAACAATCGAAGACGCTTAAAATTTCTCAAGGATATATCGCGTGCATACGTTTTTAAAATACGTTTTCGAGCCCATTGAAAATATGCTCGATAAATTTTAAATAAACGATGCATATTTAATTTTAATTAAACCTGGGTTACATTCAATTTTCAAGCCCAATAATACCGGAGCGGCAAGTTAAAAATTTAATCGTGTTATTCGACGAGCATCCAGTTTTACACGAACTTAAAATTTTTGATATGCAAACAATCGAAGACGCTTAAAATTTCTCAAGGATATATCGCGTGCATACGTTTTTAAAATACGTTTTCGAGCCCATTGAAAATATGCTCGATAAATTTTAAATAAACGATGCATATTTAATTTTAATTAAACCTGGGTTACATTCAATTTTCAAGCCCAATAATACCGGAGCGGCAAGTTAAAAATTTAATCGTGTTATTCGACGAGCATCCAGTTTTACACGAACTTAAAATGTATTAAACTCGAAAGCGTTTTAAACGGCTAGGATTCGATCGAATAAAGAATACAAGCAATTTTTCCCCCCGCGTATGTATAATTCGTAAATGTACGAGATTGAATACAATTTTACGTTCGATGAATCGCAACAATTCACTTACACGTGAATTCAGCGATTTTCACATTGACCACATTGTGCGTCAACAAAAGTCAAACACAAAAAGAGATAGGAGAGGATCCACGCTGTTGTTGATCCCCGCTAATGCATCGCGATTAGAGTTTATTGTTCTTATACATAGATTGAAGCAAACGGTAAACAATTTGTCCCCACGATGGACCGAGCAACTACTATTAGATCGATTAAGTCAACGTGGAAGACGCATGGGTGATATGTTTAGGTGGCTGGAAACTGAATTCCTTGTGGCAACATGCTCCGTGTTTGCCGATTGTATTTCTTGTATCAACAATTGAGAAACGTCGTGGGCCGTGATTGCTTTTGTTTTACGACCGGTTGAAACTAACTCGCGTGAAACGGGGTTACTCTAAATCCTGTGCTCTACCGGTTCATTATTAAACGTTCATTCAGAAATAGAATAGCATTGTGTACACGACGTGTATCGGGCACAGAATTAATCTTCTATCGATGGATTGGAATTGTATTGATTTGTACACGATTTGAATGTATTTATTGTATTCGATATTTCTCATTTTGTGGAATAATTAGAAAAATTAAATTATTGAGTGATAATAGAAATATCGATACAAATTTGGAACTTGAGTGCAAGTGTTACGATTCCTTGAACGATGATGGATCAATGGTGTGACAATTTCAATTTTAAAATAACAAAGTGTTTATTATTATAGAATTAAATTGAAATAGTGAGAGGATAAATTCATATATGAATATTTGTTATATTCATTTCGTAAGGAAAAGTTTTGACTTTTTATATGCATTCAATCTTTACATTGTATCCTTTGTTTCATTTAAATAGACAATAAAATTTTTTATTAAATATTTCCTACTTCATTAGATATTGTTACCATCATTCCTAACTATGATTTTCAATTTTTTCAATCACAAAAAAAAAAAAGAATAAGCATATGTGGAGAATGTTTATATATATACGATTTCTGAAACACTAGTAAATTTTTTATCATATATGATAAAATTGGCAATTATATAGCTGTAATATAATATCATAAAATAATTAAAATAAATTTATATATTATGAAAGAGAAAATAATGGAAAAAAAATTATAATTGGAAAAGAAATATTTAAGGAAATATAGTTACAGTGAATTCACAAAGAAATAAAGATCATCTTTTAAAAATATATATATATATATATATATACATTTTATCTAATATTTTGTTTCCACGTCTATCATTTTTATATCTAATGTTTTGTCTTTGATGAAGAAAAAATTTAAAAATTGTGCACCATACTTTTGATTAATCTTATTCTAATTTAAACTAGCTGCCTCTCGATTTGATGCTGCCCTCAGGCGTTATTAAATTCTTTTTCTTCTTTTTTTAGTTCTGTTTTATCCTTCATTGTTCTAAAAACTAATAAATCTCTCAACTGAGTGATGTATTATATCCGCATGCGTGTTTATCATATTTTATTTATATCAAAGAGAAATTTGTGGAAATCTAAACGAGAATAACAGATTAATTATCGCATCCATTCTGAAAAAGAAGATAATCTGAGAACGGAAATTGGCAAATTATTTCGAAAGATGATGATTCGAAAAAGAGAATCGAGGGGAACAAACGCAATTTAAACGCATACCAGCTATCGGAGCTTTAACAGGTCACGCTGCGTTGATTAGTTGTAATGACAAAATATATCACTAGGCATAGTCCGCCATCGTTAAAATATTTTCGCATGAAGTAAACCAAATAATGTATGCACATTGCAACGTATCACAATGTTGAGTCGCTATTAAGTAATGGTGAAAGTAATATTTCTTTGTCATCTCCTTTGACATCTTGAGGTGGAATCTCGGTGAGAGTGTCACGAACCATTACTTATGTGCGATTTTAGGATTGGAATTAATGTATTTTATTTATCTCTTTCTTTAAAATAGAGTGTTATATTCGTGGGACATTTTTGGAGAGTGAATCCTTTAGCTTGTTATGCAAAGCTATACTTAGATTAGAACAATTTGTCAAGAGTTTTTTCAGATATTCATATAATTTGAAAAATCGACAAGTGAAATAAATTTTAATCGAAGAAAGATCTTTACATGAAATTAAAATTGATATAATTTATTTCTTTTCTTTCTTGGAAATTATTTATTGCGAAGAATTTTATATCGTCTTTTTATATCTAATTTTATATCTGAATTTATTTAAAAGAATTAGTTAATTGCCTTTTAAACGAGGCAATTATAACTCGTGGAAAAGAGATGTAATATAAGATAATAAAATTTTTAATTTGAGAAATTAAAGCTACATTTTTGAAAGCATTGAAAAAGTCTGAATGCTTTTAGATATTATATGAATATATTTATGTCTTATGCACATATTCGTAATGTATTCATAAATGTATTTTTGAAGATATCGTTTAATTTTTTTCGTTAAATCTTTTTTTATTACGAATCTTATAATTTATTAAACATAAATTTTATGATTTTTAAAAGTTTGAGTAAGTTCTATTTCATTAAATTTGATAATTTGATTTTAATTTAATTATTTCTTTTTCCTTGCATTCTGCAAGATGTTTGCGATTTAATAAATAAAATATTAGAAATATTTGTTTTCTAAAGAAGGAAATCTCTATATTGAGAATTTTTAATAATTATTAATTATTAATTAAGGGTTAAAAAAAATATTACTTCACTTACTTGTACGTGACTCCAGACTTTAGGTTTGGGGCTGGATCTCGCGTTATTTGTTGCATTTGAACTTCCAGAATTATTCGAAACGCTGCCAGATGAAGTTGTGGATTTGACGGACGGTTTTTGCGTTTTTTGAATCTGCGCTGTGACTGTGCTTGACGAATTGTTCCGTTGTTGCTGTGGCTGTTGCGCGGATGTTTGTTGCTGTTGTTGCTGCTGTTGCTGCGTTTGTTGCATAATCTGTTGAATGAGCTCCAATTGCTGTTTCGTGAGACCATCGTTGCTAGCACCAGGAGACGTGGCACTCTATAAAATATAGAAAAAGGAATAGAAATATTAATAATTTATATTTCATTAAAAGAAAAAATATATATAAAACAAAAAGTTAATATTAATAATTAAAAACAAGCAGAGAGAGTTTTCTCTATTTGAGAATGTTGATAAAATATTGATATTAATTTAACGTGCGTATTTTAGTTGTTTAAAAAAAAATAAAAGAGTTAAAACTGTGGAAAGAAAGTGCAAATTATTTTTCTTACTCAATTTTTCTTAGAACCTTTCGAGGTTTTACTTAGAAAAAAAAAAGAAAAAAAAAAAGAAACGAAAGAATAATTCTGGAGAAAAAAATTTGACGCCGACCTAGAAACCTTAATTGATTAAACCAATCCAGGTTGAAAATGTACTTGAAAATGGGAAACTTCGTTTGACGGTTTAACGATCTTATGCAGGAATTCACTTTAATCGATGTAAATACTTTGTAAATCTTTGAAAAAAATACTTTTCTTTTACATATTCTTCAAGTTCATCCATTATAAATCTAAACATTTTTTACAGAATGAAACAATAAAAATTTCATTCAGTGACTAATTCATTTAATATTTCATTTCAAAAATTACATTTTTTTCTCATATGGATGCAAAATCTTTCCTCAAACCTTCTAAAGTTATATGCACCCTAGGATTAATTATATCATAACGAAATATTTTTCCTTCTTCATCAAGTGACATAAAAATATACTTAACTTTCATATAGACACTAAAGTCTTTTATTAAAGGATTTCTATTGAAAAAACTCTTCCATATACTGAAATTCTAGGTATATAAAAAAGAAGAATAACCATTAGTTCAAGTCCTGTATAAGAAAAACGAATGCCCTGAACAACAAACCTCGATAAACCCCGACCACACTCTCCCTGAAAAAAAAAAACCCACCCTGCTCGAGAGAAACCATCATTTCCGCCAACATTCCCTTCCCACATTCCTCCACCACGTTCTATTAATTTCGGTTTACATTAAAAACACGTTTCCGCTAATTCACCGTTCGCAATTCCGCGCACTAACTCGGCGACTGAATTTTAAAAGCGCGCGCTCTTTTTCTCTTTTATCGATCGAGGCCAGCGCACAGTTCAGACAGAGAGGGAGAGAGACAGAGAAAGTGAGTTTTTCCCTTTTCAAGAAATTCCATCCGCCATGAACGTTAACGACCATCGTAATATTCACGAAAAGATCGACCCATAAAATTCGTGAGCATGCACGCACGATACTTACCCACCGAGCGAACAATGAAACTTATAGCTGGATATATATACGAAGGGGCGATGCACCTGTGCTTTGGCGCCCCATGCCGTGTATACGGTTGTTTTACAGTCCAACAATCTCGTAACACGAGCGAGTGTTGTCACAGGAATCTCGAGATCGAAGAGTCGAAATGTGGAAGAGACGAAGAATAGATGGTAATAAATTTTAACCATAGTTGTTTATGTCGTAATCCAACGAAATCTCGTCGTTTATCGAATAATACTTTTAAGAAAATATTTTTCCATTTTTTAATTAATATTTCGAAAAATAATTATAATATTTGTATAAATCAATTTAAGTTTTATCTTAAAAATACAATTAATCGAAACTAATCTGTGAAATAGTTATTCGCAAAGTTTTTAATAATTATTCAAAAAATACCCAAGATATCTGTCTACCTATTATATCCCCTATTATATCTTACTAAGTATTTCCAAATTCTCTTTTCTTCAGAAAAAAAAAAATCGTATATTATAAATATCCTAGCTACATGGATATAAAAGAAATATCTTCAAATCGTCAAGTTAGGAAGAAATAATCGAGGAATAGAGAAACGATCGTAACAAATCATCGAATGAAAAAAAAATTAGGTTTCTAACTCGCCAAACAACTCCCGCGAACTATTTATTTCCCGATTCTAAACCTACGATAAATTCGGATAAGAATGTTTCGCGTGGGATAAAATAAAAGCGCGAGCAGGGAAAAAAGCGGCGTAGAGAAGAGAAAGAAACGAGAAGGATAATAAAAAAAGAGAGAGAAAAGGAGCAAAATAAAAGAGAAAGGGAGGAGGAAAAGGACGAGGGCGCTCGCGTGGATGCGTACAAACGAAAGAATGGCGGATGCGAGCAATGGTTGTCCCGCTTGCTGATCGTTTTTCAACGACACACCATGGAAAAACCGTAGTAGACGCCGCTATGCTTTATTTTCCTCGTTTTTTTCCCCCTTTTTCCTTCTTTTCTCTCTCTCTCTC